ATATGACTGATGCTTGTGCTAACTGGTTAAAAAACAGATAATTTCAGAAAAGCAAAATGTCACTTCTGCTCCGATAATTTTGGGGTTCGAAGTATTTGGATCTAGAGAAACATATATTTATAGGTCTAGCTTTGGACCCGGCATTTCAATGTGTGTGTGTATATGTGTATATATATATATTTATATATCTCTATATATATATGTATATGTATTTGTTTTTTAAGCCAGCTCACCTAAGCTGGGTCTGTAAGGCAGAAATGCCCATTCTCCACTTCGTTTTTTAAAGGCGGTTGCTGAGGAATTTCCAATGCAAGCACATACCTACGGAATTTGTGGAGGAAAGCAGTCCACACCAGTGTTGAGGCTGTTGTGAGATGCATAAAAAGAGCTGCTCCCCACCGGCCCCCAGGAGAGGCTTGTGAGCCCCCCCCTTACCAGGGGCCTTATGTTTTATTGTCTGGAGGTTGCCAGGCTGGCTGCACTTTCCAGGACAGCCTCCTTTTTGTCCTCCTTGTTTTTTTCGGTTGTTTTGTTTTGTTTTTTCTCCTTTCCTCTGCCTGAAACAAGCTGTGAAAAAGCCCCTGGCTTGCCTGGCTCCTTATGAGCTGTTGGTTGCCCGAGAGTTTGGGGGGGAGAAGTCTGAGCAAGGCCAAGTGGAAGGAGCTGAGTTTTCATTTCAATCGGAGGCATCTCAAAGCCTGATCAGCTGAAGAAAAGACTTTGCTGTGCTAATACACAATTATATTTTGTGCCATTTTTGAGAATAAGGCAGAGATTAACCTGGATAGGTTGTCTGGCCAATTCCCTGAGCCTGCCTTTGCATGAGGAACGGATGCCTGAACACTTCATAGAGAGCTGTTGCTGATAGAGACTTCTCCGTTTCAAGAGTGAATTTGTTGTAGTATTTTTCTGTTTTAAAGAAGTCTCCACTTTTTGCAAATTCTCCCTATTGCATTTAAACCTAGCCAAATTAGAATTCAGTCCCAGCCTTTTTGCTGGTGCCGCCTTTGGGCCGCGGCAGCTGCTGCTGCCTTTGCTTCTTTTAGAATTTGAAGAGGTCTCAGTTGCCTCCCTATTTCTTTCCTCTCTCACCTTCCAGGTCCTCCCAGCACTGGGAAGGGGATTAGGAGCAATGGGAAGGTGCAGTGCTCCCAGTGCTCACCCCATCCCTGGCGGTGCTTGCCAGGAAGAGGGATAGTGCGAGGGAACTGGGAGGAAACTCCCCAGCACCCGGCAAGGTGCAGCAGCCCCAGGTGTGA